GGACGTTATCGGATCAATCATCGGGATTTAGGTCTTTTGGCGACCTGGGAGGGTCAGGTACTTACTAGACTTCTTCCTCCTATGTACTGGACGTTATAGGATCAGTCATCGGGATTTAGGACTTTTGACGACCTGGGAGGGTCAGGTACTTACTAGACTTCTTCCTCCTATGTACTGGACGTTATCGGATCAATCATCGGGATTTAGGACTTTTGACGACCTGGGAGGGTCAGGTACTCTACTAGACTTCTTCCTCCTATGTACTGGACGTTATCGGATCAATCATCGGGATTTAGGACTTTTGACGACCTGGGAGGGTCAGGTACTTACTAGACTTCTTCCTCCTATGTACTGGACGTTATCGGATCAATCATCGGGATTTAGGTCTTTTGGCGACCTGGGAGGGTCAGGTACTTACTAGACTTCTTCCTCCTATGTACTAGACGTTAAATAACTTTCAATTGATAATTTAAAAGAACCCGTAAAGAAAGAACAACATGACAACACTACTTTACACTGATCCAACAATCAGATAGTGCCATATCAGTATAAAACCCATAAATGTACAGGTAATCAGTCATACTGAGTCCAGTGACAGTAGTGTGAAAACATGAAGTACGAAACCCTAACTGACGTCGATGAACAAGAAATTCCATAAGTATACTTCAGATATCAGTCTCTATACGCTTCAGAACATACCAGCCTCCATAAGTATACTTCAGATATCAGTCTTTATACGCTTCAGAACATACCAGCCTCTATAAGTATACTTCAGATATCAGTCTCTATACGCTTCAGAACATACCAGCCTGCATAAATATACTTCAGATATCAGTCTCTATACGCTTCAGAACATACCAGTCTCCATAATTATACTTCAGATATCAGTCTCTATACGCTTCAGGCATATCAACAATCCTTCTATCAGACGAGACTTACATTCAATTTCTAAGAATCTGTTTAAATAATGTTTATATAAACATTATATCGGCCTAAGTTAGGGACTAATTATGCTTCTTTGCTTATCATATTTTGTCACAAACGACGACATCATGGATCTTGTGTTTCTGAAGTAAAAACTGTCATCATATTTTACTATTTTTATGATGTAACAATTGCACTGAACTAAGGGGTACTAGAAGCAAGTATTTCAAATTTCAAACTCGGCTACCCCTTTGATTAATAATAATACAGTTTGACCCTGTGATGTAATTTTGTAAGTTCTAGTGAGTTAAAGATTGATTTAATCCATGATATAAGTTAACTCCGGCCCGAACACTTAATTCACCACTTCTGCGAACCATGATATAGGTTAACTCCGGCCCGAACACTTAATTCACCACTTCTGCGAATTTTTTTAACTCCCTAATCAATCATCCATCTGTATCTCCGATATTTAACGTATTTTGATTATTTCGCTATGTGGTTTTAATCACCACCCAATCCACCCCTTTTGTCATTGATGTTTTGTGGAATGTCTATTTTGAATACTTCACAACATGGGTGACTCGCCATCAAATTCACCCCTCTGTTAAAGAAGTGTGTATTTTAAATACTTTGCAATATGAGTTAACCCCCCCCCATTCCACCCCTTTTGTCGTTGATATTTAGAGGGATGCGTATCTTGTAATATGGTTTAATCACCACCCAGTCCACCCCTTTGTCACTCATACTTAATAAGATGCGTATTTTAAATACTTTGCAATATGAGTTAACCCCCCCATTCCACCCCTTTTGTCGTTGATATTTAGAGGGATGCGTATCTTGCAATATGGTTTAATCACCACCCAGTCCACCCCTTTGTCACTCATACTTAATAAGATGCGTATTTTAAATACTTCGTAATATTATTTAATACCCCAATCCACCCCTTTATCGTTGAAATTTAGTGGGGTGCATATTTTAGTACAGGTTAATCCTTTTATCCATTCCTTTGTTGCTGATATTTAGTGGGTTATACGTACTTTGAATTCTTCTCAATATGTTGTAATATCCTCCAAATCCAAATCCACCCACCCCAACTCCCTTGTCGCTGATATTTAGTACCGTGAGTACTTCAGAGATTTGATTGAAAGCTTTCAAACTAAGGAAATTCTCATTTCGTGCTTTCTTGTTCAATGTAGTTTTTGGATAATTTATATAAGGATGAGAGGCGTTCGTCTGAAGAACTTATCTAGAGGTTGGGCGTATACAGAAGAGAGACATAATGGAGAACATTTACAAGACTTAAGGTGATTCACAAATACGGTAGAGAGAGTAACAGTACTCTAGAATCTTGTCAATTAAACTAACCATTATACGCTTCAGAACATACCAGCCTTATGTAGCTTCGTTTAAGTAATTTATAAACACAGGAAACGGCCTGATGTAAACTGTGAAGAAAATACAATCAATGTGGAGAGCTGAAGATCCTCTTCTTCTCGTCTGAGAGAAACCTTGAAAAAATAACATCAACATTTTATATAAATATATATATTTCTCAAAGGACTTTTATAGCAACATGATAGTAAGAGGAGATAATGTGATCTAGGTAGTTTAGATGACAACAGACCGCGGAGGACTGTTTAGAAGCATATTAGAAGTTGGTTTGTGATTCACACGTTTTTAGACTAAGAGACAAAAACACGTGTCTAAACACATGGTGTCGTGTTCATTGATAATAACAATACTTTACAGAAATTGACTATAACGGGCAGGTACGTAATTCGAATGGATTACAGTTAACAACTCTGCGTTTTTCATCATTTGTGTGACTAGCAGACATTGACACCAGTATAGAGGAGGTATGAAGAGTGGGCATGGTGGAAACGAGTCACAAACAGAAATTGATTTATAAATATTTACTTTCGTCTTTAATATCTCACTCCAAATGTGTATTATAATAAGATGTGTTTGTTTGTTTGTAATTAAGTACAAAGCTACACTATGGGCTATCTGTGCTCTGCCCACCACGCGTATCGAAATCCGGATTCTAGTGTTGTAAGTCCGCAGACATACCGCTGTGCCACTGTGGGCCTACAATAAGATTAAGTCGTGCACTTAGCAAATATCCATTTGCTGTTGACGAATGTTCATATGAATATTAAGCCCGGGGTGTGGGGGACCACCCCAGGGAGTTGTTTGTTTGTTTGAAGTTAAGCACATAGCTCAACAATGGGGTATCTGTGCTCTGCCCACCACGGGTATCAAACCCGATTTCTAGTGTTGCAAGTCCGCAGACATACCACTGTGCCACTCGTAGCCCTTCAAGACACTCCGTGAGTTGGGTTTGCTATCTTGGCCGATTTTAATGATGCTCGGACATAAACCGTGTAAACAAAATAGCGGGAAAACAGAAAGTCAAAATAGCACGTATTATGACAAGATTAAAGAATGGGAAAAGTTTTTTTCTCATATTCTATTAGATACTTTATACGTATCAGCCATTCAACAGAATTCAGAAATATCAGTCTTTAAACTTTGGTGTCACAACTTTGAACTAGGGACATAAAACTGTGTACACTCGAAAGTTTCTTTTACGCTCATTTGTTAAGAACTTTAGATTTTAAACATAATAAAACATCATGTTGGAGATACAGAATCATCGTATGCGTTAAGTAATCTGACGACTTATATTGCTTCTATCTTTCAACTCAAACAATCCGCTTGGGGTATATTTCCTTATGAGAGTTCCGGATCTTATCTTATTGTCAACCTTTCTAAGCGAGTAATGAAAAATGAGTAGTTTTATTCCTTTATTTTTTAGTTCAGCTGGCGGACAATATATTTATCTACATTAAACACTTCACTAAGAAACTGAAGACCAGCCTTAGGACATTATGAAAAACTACTACAATTTAGAATCAAAAAGAATAAGCTTTAAAAAAAACATATCTGTTTGTAAATGGGCTATCTGCTGTGCTCACTGCTGGGAATCGAATCCGGAATTTTAGCGTTGTTACTTCGTAAAATTACCACTGTCCCACCGGGGTACAACTATGTCTGTCTGACATATAAATGGGAAAGGGGTCTTCACTATCAGATATACGCTGTTCTTTTGCTGTATTTTCTTTTTTAACACAGATGTTTTTTTAGTAAACGAATGTACATATTTCAAATGTGATGATTTGGACACAACCCACAAAACAATCAAACTCCCCCGTATTTAATAAACGGATGCTTAAAGCAGTTCAACTTAGATGTGTTTTTCTTCATTACCCAGGCAAGCCGTCTCCAAGCAGTATTAGCACTGACATGTTATTCAGCTTCGCCGTTTTGGAACAACAACAAAATCAGTTTTGATCGTTTAATTTAGCACCTTGTTATATATTGATCCTAAAATATATTATTATATTTCAATAGAATATTTTTTTGACGGAACTCTATTTTCCAGGTGGAGCGGTAAGCTTACGGACTTACAACGCTGTAGGGATTAGGTGGATCCCCAAAAATGTTCATTTGTGTATCTTACAAGCAGACCTGGGTTAATTTGGACGGAGGATCATCAGATGGAATCCCCAACACAAAATATATTACTTTTTATATATATTACAAGGGGACCTTTCACGAGTTGGATCAGGCGGGCCCCTGGGGAAGTTACAGCAGCTTACCGACCTATATGTAAGCCATTGCTAAAATACCACGCTTTTTTTTACTATCAATTTGTTTAGAATGTTATGCCATCATTCGGTGTTGATTACAGTAAATGCGAGACGACCCCCGAGGCGGTTAATTAGATCACAAAACTCACCAACAGGTTGTGTTTTAGTTAGGGTTTAATAAGACTTGTTTCCCAAATGAGTTTTTAACATTAAATTAGTCGCCAAACTTTTATTTTAAGGGATCAAGTAACACAGGTTTTGTTACATTTTTGAAAAAGGTAACGAATACAATTTGATGTTAATTCACCAGTGCGAGGTCCCTAAAACCATAAGGCCCCAAACAGTCATATGGCTTGCCCGAGGTTTAGGCAATGCTACTGTTTCAATGTTAAATTGAAACATGATCCAATTTTAACAGTTCTGAAATGAACCAAGCTGTTAGGGGGAAAAATTCAAGTAAGCTGTATCCAACCCAGTTTTAACAGTGTGAACAGCTGAAGTTAGACACGGTGTAGTATAGCTTTGAAATAAACCATGCTGTTGGGGTTAAGTGGGCAATTAACCTTGTTTGATATAAGGAAATAGATAATGATTAGTTCTGCTTTTGTCTTTATTTGAAGGTTCACATTTTTAGAATAAACTTTACTGCTTTAGTGTACCCCTGAAACTTGGTGTCCCAACTATAAAACTTTGGTGTCACACTTCTGAAATTTAGTGTCACACCTCTGAATTTTGGTGTCACAGCTCTGAACCTTGGTGTTCCAACTCTGAACTTTAGTGTCCCAACTATAAAACGTTGGTGTCACAGCTCTGAAATTTAGTGGCCCAACTATAAAACTTTGGTGTCACACCTCTGAAATTTAGTGTCACACCTCTGAAGTTTGGTGTCCCAAATTTGGACTGTGGTGTCCTAACTTTGGACTTTAATGTCACACCTCTGAATTTTGGTGTCACAGCTCTGAAATTTAGTGGCCCAACTATAAAACTTTGGTGTCCCACCTCTGATTTGGACACGGACTGAACGGGTAACGAAGAACTACGTTAGGAACAATGTTAACCCTCTTCAGCCGAGCAATGACCAATAAAACAATGTTAACCCTCATCAGCTGAGCAATGACCAAAACCTAACGTAGTTCTTCGTTACCTGTTCAATCCGTGTCCAAATCTTATTGGTCACAAAGCAGGTTCTTCGTCCACAAACTTGAGTATTTCTCAACTACCGGTATTTCGAGTTATGTTTTACATTAGGAAATCTTTTTAATTTTAAATTTGTACATATTGGTTCATATTCAGTTTGTTCAGGTGTAATCTTCTAGATACTATATCTTTAAGGTTGAATTAATAATAATAAAACGGTTGTATAGAGTTTTTGCTGTTTGTGGTAATCATCATTAACTCCATTGTATTTAACTGGCTAAAAATATAGTATATTAATAACCACTTCGCAACGTTACCTACTTAAAAATAATGTATATTAATAACCACTTCGCAACGTTACCTACTTAAAAATAATGTATATTAATAACCACTTCGCAACGTTACCTACTTAAAAAT